AATTGTACAAAGATGGGATATAGTGGGTGGGGAGATTGCAGACTCCTTATTACTTGGCCTTGATTTTTTGAAAGCACACAACAGCATTATCAATATGCAAAACTTGACTCTTACATTAGATGAAACATCAGTACCAATCACTAAGATCAAAACAGAGGGTTCTAAGAATGATGTTCAAATATACAGAATTTCTGTACAGAAAAGAACTGTCATCCCACCTCAAACAGTTCAAATTACACCATTAAATGTTGACAAATCATTCAAAGGTTCACTTTGTATTGAAACAGAAAAAAACTTTTCAAAGGGTATTATGCCTCCCAATTCTGTGATAAATTCAAAAGAAGCAAGAATTCCCTTTAGAAATCCAACAGACAGATTTATAACTTTAAAAAAAGGGTCAAAATATAGGTTTTGGAATGGAAATAGATGAAGTAGTTGATATGGAAGATGACGAACAAATATCTGTCAATAAAATTGACATAGGTCACTCCATTATTACCCATACTTCAGAAAATTTAAAATCTCAGTTACCACCTCACTTACAAGACCTATATGATAGATCAATTACTAACCTAAACAAGAAAGACCATTATGAAGTTTTCTCTTTGTTAAATAGATCTCAACATGTTTTTGCCAAAGATGATTTTGATTTAGGTCTTTTTAATGGGGAGATAACTCATAAAATTAACACTGATGGAGCAAACCAAATCAAACAGAAGTTGCGTAGAACACCAATGGGGTTTGAAAATGAAGAGAAAAAACACATTGAGCAAATGCTTGAAAAGGGTATAATTCAACCTTCTAATTCAGAGTGGGCCTCTCCACCTGTATTAGTGAGAAAGAAAGATGGGAAAATGAGATTTTGTATAGACTATAGGGCCCTTAACAAAGTTACAACAAAGGATGCTTTTCCCATACCAAATATACAAGATTGTATTGACACTTTAGGGGGAAATACTTTTTTCAGTTCACTAGATATGGCTTCAGGTTACTGGCAGGTACTAGTAGATGAACAAGATAGAAGCAAAACAGCATTTACAACTAAGTATGGCTTATATGAACATGTTAGATTACCCTTTGGTTTATGTAACAGCCCAGCCACTTTCAGCAGAGTTATCCAACAAGTTTTAAGGGGATTAACATGGCAAGAATGCTTAGCCTACTTAGATGATGTTATCATTTTAGGTAGTGATATGCTTTCCCATACTAGAAATCTTTCTGCAGTAATTTCCAGATTTGAAAAATACAATCTGAAACTCAAACCCCAAAAGTGCGATTTATATCAAAGAGAAATCAAATTTCTAGGAAAGTTAGTCAATCAAAATGGTGTTTCAGTCAACCCTGAAAGTATAGAAATTATCAAAAAGTTGCCAGTCCCTAAAGATACAAAGCAATTAGAATCATTCTTGGGATTTGCAAACTACCATAGAAATCATGTTAACGAGGTTGGATCCTGCCATCAAAAGTAATGAGAATTTTTTATCAAGTATATTTTTAGAACTTATACACGTAGCTTTATTAAAAATCAAAACAAAAAATGGGGGTCAATGCGCTTCTTTTGGCGCTACAGAGCATTTAGTTTGACCTTTTTGCACTGTAAATACGTCTTACACATAACTCAATTTTTAAAGTTTCTACTCCAATAATTTTTGTTCAAATAAATAATGGGGACAAAACGGTCTTATTTCATCTTAAATAGACACATTAAAATTTGTGACAATGAAGAAATTTTCAAATTACTCCGCATGTTCAATTATTTGACCTTTTTGCACTCAAACATTTTCATTTTTCTGGCATTAAAAATTTAACAAGCAAAGAAATCATTTGAAAGTAATGACATTTTTGCTGAATTTAAGAAGAATGGTTAAAAGTATCGTATATATTCAGAAAAGAAAATCAAAAGTGGGGGTATGTGATGTTAATTTTTAGATATTACTAAAACAGTGCTAATTTTAAGCTTAAATTAGGGCTATTTTTTTCCTTCATGTTCACAATATATTTGCTATATTCATCATATATGATGATAGAATTCATGACAGTTTATTTAATAGATAATTTAGGACCAATATAAAACAGTCCAATGCACAAAATAACTATGTGTGCAGGCTGCATGTAAAAATAGGAATCCAAAGTTAGCATACTTTAAATACTTCGAAAGAGAAAAAATGATCATTTTCTTCTAAAAAACCTTCCGCCACAAAATATAGTTCCTCGCTTAATGCTTTTAGTATGGAATTTAATCATGGAGTTTTAACTGAATATAGTTAAATTGGCATTGTAGAATTCAAATTTATTGTAAGAATTAAAACATTATGCAGAATTTTTGAAATATAGGTTAAGATAAAAATTTGCTCAAAAGCTCAGGAGCGAACCTCGTTAAGGGTTTTGCAGAAATTTCTCACTTATTATATCAACTTGTAAAAACATCAAAAAAGTCAAAATTTGAATGGTCACAAGAACATCAAAATGCATTTGAAAAGATCAAACAATGCATCATTCAGGCTTTGACATTAGCATACCCAAATTCACAAGATACCTTTATTTTAGACACAGATGCATCAGATAATTCAATTGGTGCTGAATTATGTCAAATACAAAATGGTAAAGAACAAATTGTAAGTTTTGCTAGCAAGGTATTAACACCAGCCCAAAGAAAATACTGTACCACTCGAAAAGAACTCTTGGCAATTATTACATTTACAAGACAATTCAGACATTTTTTGTTGGGAAATACCTTTATTCTAAGAACTGACCACAATAGTTTAATATGGCTTTTAAATTTCAAAAACATTGAAGGTCAGCTAGCAAGATGGATTGAAGAATTGTCACAATATAACATCATTTTACAACATAGACCAGGAAAAAACCATAGTAATGCAGATGCCCTTTCCAGAATACCAGAAAGTCTAGATCTTTGTAATGAATAAAGACCTGGAATAGAATTGAGTCAATTACCTTGTGCTGGGTGCCATTTTTGCACTCGAGCAAAACAACAGTGGGCTACTTTCGAGAATGATATAGATTATGTTATTCCTTTGACAATAAGATCAGTTGACAGTTTTGATACAATTGCTTTCGGGTTGTCAGATATTTTTGATCCAGGTGAATTAAATAAAAAACAAAATGAAGATAGTGATATTCACAAAATCAAAACTTGGATAGAGTCTGGGATAAAACCATCTCAGAAAGAGTTATTATTAAGTGGTCCCAGTGTTAGATATCTTTGGTCATGTGAATCTCAGTTACACCTAAAAGATGGTCTTCTATATTATCTATGGGAAGATCATGTTAATCCAAGATATTTATTTGTGGCTCCAAAAAATATGCAACCTGAAATATTGAAACATTGTCATGACTGTAAAACAGCAGGACACCTAGGTCAAACAAAGACTTATGAAAAATTGAAACAGTGCTCAGTTTGGTATGGTATGTCACAAGATTCCAAACTTTATGTTGAAAATTGTAGTATATGTAACAAAAATAAAAAGCCCAACATCAAAGCTAAGGCTGCTCTAGGTCAATATCATGCAGGCTATCCTCTTCATCGTGTACACATTGACATACTGGGGCCCCTTCCTGTAACCAAAAATGGAAATAAGTACATCTTGATGATCATCGATCAATTTACTAAATGGTTAGAAATTGTCCCAATACCAAACCAAAATTCTGAAACAGTAGCAAAAGCTGTGGTTGATAATTTTATATCAAGGTATGGTTGCCCTACAGAGTTACATTCTGACCAGGGTAAAAATGTTAATGGTGTACTTATGCAAAAATTGTGTCAGCTATTACAAATAGCTAAAACCAGGACAACACCCTACAACCCTCAGTCTAACGGTCAAGTTGAAAGATACAACCGTTTAGTACTGCAGAGTATTCGATGTTATTTAAAAGACAAACAACATGAATGGGACCTCAATTTACAACAAATTGCAGGTGCAATTAGAGCAACTGAAAATAGACAAACTCAGTTTACACCAAACTTTATGTTTTTAGGAAGGGAAACAACTCAACCTATAGATTTGATACTAGGTACATACAACTTGAACAGCTCCGAGAAAGAAATTCCTGAATACTTACAAGATTTGAGGTCTAATATTACAGAATGTCATCAAATTGCAAGAGAAAATATTTGTAAAGCCCAAGATAGACAAAAAAGATACTTTGACACCAATTTATATCAAAGTATATACAATGTGGGAGATGTTGTACTGAAAATTGATTCAGCTACAAAATTGGGTCAAAGTTCAAAATTAAAGTCTCCTTGGAAGGGTCCATATATCATAACTGAGGTCAAATCTCCTGTTTTATTTAAGATCATTGATAAGAAAAACAGAGAAACTGTAATACACCATGATCGTATCAAGCTCTGTAAAGATCTAAATCATCCCGGCTGGGTAAAAAGATTCAGGAATAAGTTTTTCAATCAGAGTGATGGGTCTTTGAAGCAGACTGATTGTCCTTCCTCAGCTACAACATCTGAATCTGATGATGTGATCTCAGATTTTGTAAACCTTTTTGCTAGGGATGATGCGTCGGATATTCTGATGCATCATCAAAACTCCAATACAGCTTCAAGTTCTCTTTCTACAGAAAAAGAACAGGTTAAAAGAGGTCAAAGGACAAGACAAAGACCCCGTTACCTATCTGACTATGTATAGGATTAAATTAGCAGAAGTGCATGTGAATTTTAAATAACTAACATGTTTTATCAACTTTATTAACTGTTTTTAATGTTTTATATATATAAAAAAAACAAACAAACAAATCTAACTAATAGATAAATACACATACCTATTTTTATTTATTTATTTATTTATTTATTTATTTATTTATTTTTGTATATTTATTTCATTTTACTTAATTAGTGCCATTAGTGCCAGTGGTTTATATCTGTATAATAATATCAAAAACCTACAAACATCAAGCACATTTAAATTTTGACAAATTTATATATTAAGAGTAACTTGTATTAAATGTAGAGTACAATTGTTTTAGAAATGTAAGACTAAGAAGATCATTTTGTTCCTGACTATGAAGAAGAACCTCAACCAAACCCTGTGCAAGGTTCCACTTTAGGTAAAAAAGGAAAAAAGTGCCCTGTTTATAACTCGAAGTTTACACATGTTCGACGACATGTTATTCAAGAACATATTCCTTGGTTTCTTTATCCAACGACATCATGTTGGACATGTGAATTAGGTTTTGGCCAGGAAAGATTTTTAAGACTACATATAGAAAAAGAACATTTTGATGACTCCAGCTACTGTAGATATGATACTAACATTCATGGTCAAATTTGGGTTGAAAAAATATCTTCTTTAATCAACAGATTCAACAAAATTAATGTGATATCGTCTATAAATTCAAATGAAAAATTTTCCACATGTTTAGGAACAATTTGGCAAGAAGATGACCTAGTACAAATAAAATATTACTTGGATGCAACACATCAACACCAGGCATTAACAAAGACACCTTATCCCGCTAAAAATTTCACAAGTCTATTACACTGGAAAATACTCAGTATTCTTTTGGATATTAGCAGCCCTCCTGCTGAGGTTCTACAAAAATGTGAACTTAACAAAAACAAAGAAATACTTATAATAGGATCCTCAATTATTCATTGGGCCCATCAAAGATCAATTATATTTAAATGGCATTAAGTCGGATGTTCTGATTTGTGCCATACCTTGGGGTTCGTTAAAATGGGGAGGAATGTAGTAATAAAAAGTTTTATAAAATAGTTCGGGTTCGGGATGTATATATTTGTATACGTCACGATCAGCTGATCACTGAAATACCATATCAAACCAGTTGTGAATTTACCCTGGATGTATACGGAAGTCTGTTGACACCTGTCCCGTCCGGAGTCCACAGCTCAGGTGGGTTGAAACCTATGTTACCCCTCACAATTTTCACAAGTTATACTAACTAAATATTGTACTCCCTTATACTAACGCACTTCACAACAAGTTTATACGAATCTGTAACCGTAATGAAATGATCTAAATTTTACACTCTGAACTAAAAGTCTTTAAAAACCTTATCTGAGATAATTTACGTTTTGCTTTTTAACACCCAACACTTCTGTTGCAGAAGTGACGTCAAACATGACTTACACTTACATCAGATAAAAACCGAAACCGGTCCGGAAATAAAATGTGGAATGATTTTAATATTACTCATAAAATAAACCCAACCATAACGAGTTTTAAATAAAATATAAAATAATTTATTCTTAATAAATTTAGTTTTTCAAGAAAACAAATTTTGAATTTTATGAAAGGATTTTTTTTTGGGGGGGGGGGGGTCACAGAGTACAAGTTTTTCCCCTTTTTATGCGAGATTCTTAAGGAGATGAGAAGCTTGATTCTTTTAAATAAATATACATTTAAATTTGCCCATCTTGATATATGTTATTGAAATTATTTTTTAAATCATGCAGTGTACTTGTTAAAAATAACATTAAATTATTCATATTAAGCTTAATATGAAATTATTCAAGTGTTAACTGATTAACATTGAATAAACATATTTTTTATCTCATTGAATTGAATAAAAATGCGTTTTAACTGTGTATAACAAGGACAAATAAATAAACACGCACATATCTGTTTCATATGATTCTCATAAGATCAACTTCAAAGCATTCATCTGATTCTCATATGCAGGACCTTTCATATGTGTATCATATGTATATTGCTTCATATGATTTACATTTGTGTTTTCATATGATCCACATACGATTTGCCACATGATTGAATATATATATGATCCTCATATGAAAGGCAATGCACATTTGGATCATATGTGGCAAAATTGCCTATGTATGCAAGTACTTCTTAGCATAAGCCCGTCAATAGCGCCAAAAACAGCCTGTATGGAACCCCAACTCCGCATTTTTTTTCACATACTACTATAAAGATGACATTCATATTGTCACCCCCCATGTATGTTCTACTTCCAAGGCAGATCATTAATATGCTCATAAGCAGAAGTGCTATCAAGGAAACCCTGTTTAGGGTAAAGATGTCAGAAAGATGGATTTTATGTTGGTGTAATATATTCTTATATTAGCCTTCTCTGAGGTTGCTATAAACTTCTATGATCTTAGCATTGCAAAACCCCGCATTCTTCTGCTTACGATAACTTAGATATTTACATCAGTTTACCTTTGTTGTTACTACTAAGATATGATAATTGATTGAATTCTTCTATACCATCTTCTTCAAAGTTACCTTACCACTTTTCTTGGTTATAACTCTTATTGACTTGTCTGTCCGAGTGTAGGACAGATGTGAAAGGTTGTCTGCAAAGTCTAGTTTAAATAAAAAAGAGATATAAGAGGAAAATAAAGAGGAAAATTCTTCTTCATAGTCTAGGCTGTATATTCTAAATAACACTGCTTAGAATCTTAAGCAGGTAGCAGTTCTTTCTTGGTACAAAAAGAAAAATGGCGCTTCTCCACTTTTTTGCAAAGATTAAGCTCTCCCTCCCTTGGTTACAGGACCACAATGTAAACTAGTAATGTGTTACTAATTGTACTATATCCTGTCTAAATCAAAGAATTTATTATTATTATTATTATGTTTTTTATACCCCCGCTTGATGAGCGGGAGGGGGTATATAGTGATGGGGGTGTCCCTCCGTCCGTCTGTCTGTACGCCCGTCCCTTATGCTTTGGGGTACCAATCTCTTACCCGCAACTCCTTTTATACCACAATAAAATTTAATGATACTGTCATAGATTCTTCATTACATAGTGCCCTTGTGCACCTCCTATTTTACTTTTTCATCTGATACTTATTTCGGGTCTCCTATAGCAAAACGTGGACTTTGCCATTATAATGAAATGGGAGGCGGGGTGTCATTTTGTGACCTCAGTGCTCACATTACCTGTAGTGTAGTTATATAATTAGTCCTTCTTCCGTTGATTAGGGATTTTGTCTGTTTTTCACAGCTTCTTTAACACATAATACATAATAATTATCTTATAAACCTCGTTTCATCAGTTAGTATTTTGTCAATTCCTGCTGCTCTTTTATTGAAAAGAAAAGATTAAACACTAGTAGCTGTTGTCACTTCCTTCTCGCTTCTTCAAGCTATTTCTACATCCACGTCTTTCCCATGGTAAATCGTATTGGTCTTCCAGAGTTTGGTCTATTTAGTACTTCATTGATGTGTTTGTTTCATCTATTTTGTTGTCCATTTATACCTACCTTTACAAACATTTTTTTGACCTGGTTGGCTAAAACAGATTGGTTTTTTCATAGTTTTTTTGATGTTATGTGATATTTTATTACTTTAAATCTCCTGTATGAGCAGCTAAGCAAGGTTATTCATAAAGTCTCTTGCCTGCAGTTATGATCGACTTCTTTGCCCAGCTCCTGATATTAAGTGTGGAGCAAACGGTTTTGCATTTTTGTTTTTGCATCTTTCTTAGCTTCCTACCAATTGTTTTAGTAACATCAAATCTTCATTGAATTTAGTTTTTTTTTTTTTTTTTGACGAATGTCTTTGCCTGCATCCAATTCATGGTCTTATGTTGTATCTAGACTTGGAATTTTGATTTCATTGTAGGATTGGAAATTCTTTCTTTCTTTTTCAACAGTTTACTTTTACCTAACTGTTTTCAGAGCTCTTTTTATCTCTCACTTATCATTACAAAATCAGCTAGTTATCATAAATCCATCTTCCCGACTTCCATTCTTTTTTAATTCATATGAAGGAATATGGAGCCTCCGATTACAATTGAATTTATTTCATAAAATTCAGCAAGAAATTCTTTTCCATTTTAGTGCACGCAACTTGTGACTGAATTACAATAAAGGAACAATATACATGTATTATGGAATTGAATTGCGTTATGAACCGTTATTTAGCTTTTGCTTTACAATGTGATTTTTAAGATGTCTTTAACAAAGCTTATTCATAACCAAAATATATCACAAAACGGTCAAGTATAATAAATATTACAGTTAATCGATCGTTTCTTAGTCCAAGTAGTGTAGAAATGTCGGTTTGGTTTTAGCGGCGGCCATCTTTAAAATGGCGGAAATTGCGATGGCCATCGATGATTTTAGAAACCATATTATCTGAAGAATAATTCTGACAAAGTTCACGCTTGTATCCACAAGTGAAATATTTTGGTGAAATTTTGCTCTAAGTAGCTACACTGTTACTGATACAGGTATGTCTATTAATAGCAGTGTAAACAACATGTCAACCGAAGCAGAACCTATGTTTTACTTGGGAGAAACCAGGGCAGTATTATATGAAAGTAAAGAATAAATAGAAAATGGAATCACTTTAGAGGAACTATACGAGCTGGGGAAACATATGGGCAATTCAATTAATCAACGCTTTAATAACATGAGCGCAATTATTGATGCTTAGAATAAAAGAAAAATGAAGGCACTCTTTAAAAAGTTGGTAAAATATGTGAAGAAGTAGTAAGACTGTCGAACACAGTAAATTCTATCGAGAAAGGGATAAGTCCGATTAATCGAACAAAGGAGAATTCCATGAAAATCTACAGGGAATGAACAATATATTCGATGGAATAAAAGAGCAAGTAGGTAAGTCGGAAAATAAAATGCAAGACTTAAAAATAAGACTTGATGAAATGGAGGAAAAAATTGTGAAATACACGTCTAAGAGAGAGACCAAATTAATGAATTAAAAAATACGAAGACCTGTCAAATCTAATTATCGACTGACGATGTAGATCTATGAAATACAACCTGATTTTTTTTTCTGTTTTATATGAGATTTTGCAAAAAAACAGAAGAGTTATTACGAAATTTCCTGGAAGAAGTACATGATTTTGATTTAAATTCGGATCCACAAGTGTTTACAGATTTAGAGAGAAAAAAGGGCCCGGCCAATCGTGGCAAAATTTATCTACTAACAAGATCATGATTTTGTACTCCAACGCACCAACAAAGTGAAAGGCAAACCCTACCAAATTAATTGCCAATTTCCACGTGCACAGAAAATTGAGCAAGCTCATACCCCATTAGGAAAGACCTACGACTCAACGGTGAAAAAATGAAGCTGGTTTGGAACATCCGACATATCAACGGAGAGTCATTCTACCCAGAGAATGCAGAACCAATTGAATCACCGAATCATTTCAATCGGATCTCTACAAGATATCGAATCTCATCAAACAAACGTCGGAGAATTAACTCTTCACCAGAAGGGTACTAGGAACCCTCAGGGGAGTGTGTAAGAAACTGCAGACAAACAAACAACAAATTACAAATTCTTTCATTAAATTGTTGCCGAATAAAGAAAACATTAGATTACCCAGAATTCAGTGAACTAGTGAGGCATTGTGATATCTTGTGTTTTCAGGAAAGAAACTCAACTGACTTGGATGAAAAATGGAATTAGATATAGTAGAGTAAATTCTGGAGGTTAAATACTAGCAGCTGAACATAAATTCAAAACTTCATAAATATTCTCGAAATACAATACAAAGCTGCACTACGTTTGGAAATCTCAAAAAGAAATTCTAAATGTGTGTCACAGGGTGAATCATATTAATTAATTGATATTACTAATTATCATTCATATCATTTTCATATATAGTAGCTAGTGAATACCGTTGCCACTACGGAATTTACTACGTTCATTGATTGCCTTATTCATTCATACA